ACCTCTTTGAAGTATAAAATATAATCACGGACCCCCCCCCCCCCCCCAAAAAAAAAAAAATTAATTTAATGATAATACTAAGACTTAATAGGCACAATATTAAATTATTGTAATTAATCACTTTTTATAATAGTTGAAAACAAGTTTTAATGTGCATTTGCTGTTTTTTGATTGCAATATTGCCTTTAAATTTGGGACCATATTAGACAGAGCAATTCGTATATCGTCCTTAATGTCCAATCAATTTCTTGCTTTAGTTTTAATTGCGACATTGTAGAAAATCCAGACTCACAGAACTATGTAGAAGCGAATATAATCAAACTCGTGGATAAGCTTTCGTCAACGAACACCAAAATTCGATTGCATTTTTTGTTTGAAAACCGAGGCGTGCCATTTCTTTTGATTTCAAATCAATTCATATCAACAAGGTCTGAATCATAAATATTGCATTTAAGTCTTCTTGAAAAGGACTGTGCGTAACCATATTTCTGCTTCGGATATTTAAAATCCAAATAATTGCCAAATACATTTTCAAGCACATCAAGATTTGCACAAATTTGCGTTTTTATGGAACTGGATAAAGCAATATTATTTTTTGAAAGCTCGTGTTGGAAGTCTGCTAAATTTTCCTATAGAAGTTTTACAAATGCGTTTATTTTGTCGGACGCTATGGACGTGTGTCACTGCACGTCCTTCAATTGATATATTTACTTATCTTTACTATTATATATTATAAATGTACAGTTTCTACTCAAAAGGTTCATCAAATAATATTATGAATTAATTTCAAACAAATTTATTTTTGGGTTATTTAAAAACCTCATCACTGCCGATCCGTGGACCACCGAGTAACCATCTACGGACTCCCGAGGGGTCCATGGACCTCCGGTTAAGAACCTATGCTTTACACAGATACACATGTAATATTTAAAAGATCATAAAATTAAAATAAAAACAATTACCATACAACGGTCAGTGAATGTAGGTATTCAAAGTTAAAAATTTAACATATAAAAATATTTGGAATATACGTAAATAATCAAAGTTAATGAATTTAGGTACCTACTCGCAGTTAAAAATATAGTATAATATACAAAGGTTCGAATGATCGATATTCGATACACTTCAAATAATACAAATAATTACCTTATAGTATTATAATAGTTTATCAAAGGTACACATTAGTGCACTACAGTCTACAGTATACTGTATACACGACAATAGGTAACATTGGAAGTTCTTAATTCTTAATTCTTATATCGTGTAAAATATTATTGTCAAATAATGAGTAATTACACTAATTTGGGTTTGAACAAATATTTTTTTAATAATTTACATGTGTTTGTGGGATTTTTTTCCTAGGTTCGGGGGTTTTTTTCTGGAGATTTTTATTTTGATTACTGATAGTCGATAGATACCTACCGAATTATCGAAAATATAGGTACCGAGGACATATCGGCGGTAATATCGCGATGTATTCAAAAAATCGAAAACACTTAAGTATACTGAAACAACCGTACCGAAATATCGGTTTTACGATGTTTTCGGTATAAGTACTCATACTGAAATATCCATGTAAAAAAAAAATACCGACACCCTTATAGTCCTATAATTAATAGATATTTATCTATCATATATAACATTATTTTAGTTTCAATAAGTGGATTCAGGGCCAGACTGGGTAGAGTCCGTTCCACTATCCCAAATATAAAGGTGGCCCTGCCCTGGCCATATACGCAATTAGTTGGGGAGTAGAGGGGGGGGGCTTAGCCGCCAAAATTTTTTTTACCCATTAAATAATACAGTGGCTAATTTAAAAGAGTCAGAGAGTCATTTTTTCCATAAAGAAACTGAAACCTTATGACCTTTTTTTATACTTAGGTACTATTTAGGTTGGTTCTTTATATAGTGTACTTTGTGTCATTATAGTTCTTTATATGGCTAAGATGAGGATGTCAGCTCAATTTTTTTTCTTTCTCAAACCAACACGCTACATATATAAGACGGATTAACCTAAATTTATTTTTTTTATGAATTTTTAATACTCTAAGAGAAAAATCACCTAGTAAAAAAATAATAGATAGACATATTTTCGAGGGTATGACATAACGGTTTATTTTTTTTATTATCATTTGACTATGTATTTGACGTTCAAAATAAAAATGTGAATTTGAATGATGTATTGATGTTCAAACTGTTTTTAAACAATATTTAGACAAATCGATATGTCATAGGTAGTAGATAACTTCAAAAATATCATTCTTTATCGTTTTTGTAATGTCCGACTAATGGGTGATACTTTAAGATTTTAATGACTAATGTCTGTTGGTGATTTAACATGTTGAATATGAAGTATTATCTTCTAAAGAATAAGCTATATTCCTTGTTTTGACTTTAAAAAATATTTTGACAATAATTATGCAATGAGTTCCGCTTAATTTGATCGCTGGTTTATAGAATCGTTTATTAGAATCAAAAATGAAAATTCCAAACCAAATTGTATAAATGTTAAATTGACTTTTATTAGAATCACTAAGTACCGAATAATTGAATCACTTTTATAAACAATCTCAATGTTTGTATAGTATTTCAAACTCATTAATTGATAAAACCCATTTTATTTTTGAACTTATTAGTGTGACAATATATCGTTGTACGTTATTACTTATTATATTATTCAATTATCTTTGTGCGTCGTGAACTTGTGTAATTTATTATGTATTTACATTAAATATGTAATTGTACAAAAAGATTGAATAATGAAAAAAATGTTGTAAATGTTTTATAGAATCAAAATGATCACATTAAGCGGAACCCACTGTATTACCATTTGGCAGTTAGGTACTTAAAGTGGGGGCCTCAAAAATTCACTGAAATTATTTTGCTGTTTATTACTGTCTTAAATGTTTGAATATGACACGAGCAGCATTAGCTTTATTCGACAAGATATCATTCCAGTTTTAATTTTAAATAATTCATTTTGGAACATATACACTTTTATATATTATGATTTATGATGTAGGTACCTATGTGGCTATGTCATATGTTAAAGCAAAATAAATATTGACTTTACAGTTTAATGTTTATTAGGAACAAATCACTTTTTACAAAATATTATGTCTGGGTCTGGAAGCAGTGAGTTGTGAGTTCCAAACTTTTATAATAATTGATGATTTTATTTTTTTTAGAAATAATAAACAATTATATTCTATTTTTTTTCCATTAAACGCAAGAACCTAAAACCATATAATATAATTTTTAAATAATAATTTGTACACTGTACTCTGTAGAAAAAGCATACCTGCATCCTACATACAATATTAGAATCAATAATAGTATTATAATTTGTATCTAATCGTTATACCTATTAATGTTAATTATTATGGTATTAAACATTGATTAATAGTTATTAATTAATAAAGGGAAATTTTGCCATTTTGGCTGCTTAAAATGTATTCAACCTAATTGTGAAAAGAGATGGGCAGCAATTTTCTGAAGTCAAAGAAGGGTTATAAGTTATAACCATTATAATTATACACTTTGTTGCTTTTTTATTTCCATAATTTTATAATAAGACAATAATAATTATTTTAGTGGCTTGGCGTGGCGCGTTAGCGTTTTGCTACCAGTCGCGGAAGTAACGGCCACAACTACTAGCTCCCGGATGGATGACCACCCGGGTTCGTAGTAGTTAAAAAGTAAAAACCTTGCCACACATACACGTTTTTGCTACCTACCATAACAACCCTAACAATCATAAAAACAACCTACCCATACCAATGTTACCACTACTGCAGTTCATAACCCCTGTAACAGCTAATGGCCTTAGTCGCCGGGCTTAAGTTCAATGAAAAAAAAAATTATTATTATTAATTACCATTTATTAAAGGTGGTATACTGTTTATTGTCACGTTTATAAACACGATATGTCAGAAATCCTTCTTCACGGTAGTAGGTTTTAATACCTTTTCTCGGCATGTTCACTATTCACAATTTAATCAAAGGATGTAAGATCAATTTGGTAAAATGTAACTGAAAACAATTTATTTTTGGTATCATAACGTACTTATTTTTAAAAATTCAAAAGTATTAATTGTGGTGTCGTACAGTTTAATGTATATAAGTATATTACCTATATAGTCAGTACTCAGTAGTCTAGTACACTTCTCAAATCCATAGCGCACACTTGCAATTTCAAACTACACACTTTGTGTAGGGGTTTGCTAAAAAATAGGGACTGCACAATACAGTATATTTATTTTTGACTATTGTATCGAAAATACCCTACAATAGTCAGCATTGGAGTTCACTGTTCAATTGTATTTTATAAAACTACTAGCTGATCCCGTGCACTTTGTTCATTGTTGTCCGTTAAAAATTCCAGTAAGTGCTAAGACGCTAAGTGCAACTTGGCCACCTTGGTAGGCAATATGTGAAAATTCAATTGTATGCGTGCTTGTACCAGATCTGCCCGATGAACCACTGCAGGCAACCAACAAACGAAAAAATACCAATATCTACTAAATATATTTATATTTCTCCTATAACCAATAGCAACCGTATATAAACAAATATTTCCTTCGTAAATCTTAAAATCCCTGTTTGAGCAACTCCCCGGTTCGGACTTATCGGGTCCATTGTGAATCTCAACCATCCAGGACTTCAGTGACATTCACACGTACAGTAGAATTATATATATAAAAAATAAAAACTATGATATTATAGCAGTGATATTCAGTTATCACATTAACGACTTGTCCCAAAAAATAGTTCAAAAAGCAGGTGAGCGAGTACCCCCCCCCCCTTGTAATTACATCACACTACCACAGAACAGAATTAACAATGACATAAGACAAATAAATAAATGTTTAAATCTAGAGTTTATTAATAATTTTTTTTAATATAAATATAGGTGTTAAAGTAAAAATTTATAAAAAGATAAAACACATGAATCAATATTTTAATAAAATAATATTAAGAAACTTGTAAAAATAATAAATATAAAAATTATAAAATTTTTAACTCTTTTTAGGGCATTATAATAATATGTATACCTACATGTAGATTTTTTTTCTTATACATTATCCTTATTCTCATAGTAAATAACTTAACTAAAATAAAAATCAAATAATAATTATAAAAACATTTTTATGCACATTATTTTTGGAATTTGGATGGTATACGACTTTCTGGACATTTTCTGTTGGATGAATTAGATACATCAGATAATACAGGAACTCCCGAGAACTTTGGTATGGTCTTTTTTTGTTTAATACTATCATTCAAGGATGATAGTGATGAACTATTAAACTCATCATTTTTTGCTAATGATCTATCGGTGACTTTGCAAGGTATTTTACTTTTTACTGTAACTTCTGATTTTTTTAAAGTTATTGGTGGTTTAGCAAAATCATTATTTTCTTCGAATTTGTTAAAGTTTAATTTTTGATAGCATTTATCTGATTTGAAATTGTTTTCTTTTGTATTGTTTAAGCGGGATGGCTGTTTTTCACTGCTCCTGAACATATTTTTAATTTTATAGAGCATCGACATTGGTGTCTTCAGGGTCTCACTCTCTTCTACCTTCATTTTTTTGTTGATGTTATCATGTTCTCGAGTAGTCTCTGTTTTCCTTTTATTATCTTCCTGTACATGATCCAATTCTATACTATGAAAAGAATCAACAATTGAACTTTTTTCTGGCGATTCCATTAGAAGTGATTCATCGTTCATCTGTACATCAGTTAACAATTCAGTGTTGTTGTGCAAAAATGAAGATTCTTCTAAGTGTAAAGCCGTGCTAGTAATGTCATCAGAACTACTTTGCATAGATTTTTCAGATTTATTATCAGAAATGATGGGAATAATTTGATTTTTAGATAAAATATTTGATTGATCATCAGATTTAGAAACAAGAGACATTTCAATTAGATTAGAAACATTACTATCAGATTCAACAGATGTTTGATCAGTTTTTTTTTTTGATTCAAAATTTTCCAATATTCTTTGGTCAATAATGCTGAAATCCACAATGGCTTGTTCATTTGAGTTAAAACGCAGTTGTTGGTTTGAATCCTCTTTAAACTCTACAAAATCAATATTTTTATTCAACGTAGTATTTGATAACAGTTTTAAGTCCGATTTTAAACCTGTAGTAGATGCTTTTGCCACACAGTGTTCACCATACAACATTTTATGTTTTAATTCACTTTGTTCAATTGTTTGATTTAAAGAGTTGGAAGGCTCACCAGAAGCAATTTGTTTGTTGATGAACATCAATGGTTCCACATTATTTAATTCTGTTATACTATTTGCACAAGAATATGAAGGCAGATTTAAATTAGAATCAGTTATTGTTTGATCAAAAGATGAGTTACTGAAACTAGATGTATTTGCTTTAATTGACTCATCAGGTAATAATTCCAAATCTGGAGGTGAAATTGTTGATAGATTGTTTAATGAAGAATCATTGGAGTTTTGAAAATCTTTAAAATTAATTTCATTTTTTGTCACTACTTCTGAATTCCACATTTGTTCATCAGCTGAGCTAAAACGTATTAAACTGGCATTTTTTATAACATTTTCAACATTTTCATTTGGATATATTTGTTGGGCCTTTTTTAATATTGGTGTTGGATCAACAATACTGAAATTTAATACCTTTTGTTTCTTTGCTTCATTGTCAAAAGTGGGTGTTTGTTGAACAATACTAAAATCCAATAGTTTTTCTGTCTTGGGAGTCTTATATTCCACTTGTTTTTCTTTTTTATTGTCTCCAAAATCAAACATCTGTTCCAGATTTGTAAATTCTTCTAAGCTACTATCAATATTTGTAGTTGCATCTAATAAATCTTGTTGCTGATTATCATTATTAAGTAATTCATCTTGATCAGTTAAGTTTTTTTGAGTTATTTCTGTATTTGAAATAAGTTTAAAATCAGCGGAGTTAGGAATGCCAGCTGTAATTTGATTGGCTATTGGATTTAAGTCGTTTTCATCAGAAGTATCTTGTATTAAATGTACTTCATTGACATCTTCAGGGATATTATTCAAGTTTTTATTTGTTTGGGTAAATGTATGAAGTTCTATTTTTGATAATTCATCACTAAACATTGGACTTCCATTATGTTTTGTCTCATTTGCTTTGATTTGAATATTAACATCTGTTCCATATGCTAAACCCACTTCAGATTTTGAAGAAGTAGTTACTGTTGATTTATTCAACAATTCAGTATCATTGACTTCATTAACAGTACTTTCAGACTCCAAAGTAATTGGTATATCATTATTGGAGTTTACAGAATCTTCATGCAGTTCCGTGTTGTTACGAGAAGTTTCCAAAGATTTATTATCTTCAATAATGACCGATAAGTTTGGTCCAACATAATTGGAGAAATTTTCATTTACTTTTGCTACATTGAATGTATCAGAAGAAAGCGTTTGTTCAATCAAGCGTTCAATAGTTTCATCGTCAAGACTTTCTTTTGGCTGATTTGATTTTCCATCAGGACAACTTGCTGATGAAATATCATTGCACATTTCATTTACAGCTTGTTCAAAGTCTAAATATTGTCTCATTCTACATGATGGGTCTTCTAGTGATGTATTGCAGGTTATATCAACTTCATTGATTCCTACAAATGAAGTATCAGAATTGATTGGGGTTTTTAAGATACTCTTATCCAGTTTATTTAAAACCAAATTATCATCAAAATTAATTGCTGAAACAGAGGTGTTTTGGATATTATTCTTAAACCTGTGTTCAGTAATATTTGAAGCGCTTCTAGTTTCATTTAAGGATTTATTGCAATTAATAGTTCTGCTGTCTATTAAAATTTTATTAGCATTTATTAACATTGATTCATCAAATATTTTATCCACTATACTGGTATTAATTGATTTAATATCAATTTTTGTGGCAATTGAGTTTTCTTTATCATTATGATCATTGACATCAGATGTTGCTATAGCCATGTTGGACATAACATTCATTGACTTTTCATCATCAAATTTGTGTTCAGTGTCATTTAAGGATTTATCCAAAATAATACTTTGGTCGTTTGATACAAGTTTATTGGCGTATACTGATTCATCTAACTCTTTATCTACACAACTAGTGTTAGTTGATGTAATATCAACTTCCATGGCAACTGAGAATGCTTCATTGTTATGACCTTTAACATCTGATGTTGGTGTAGCCATGTTGGACATAATATTCATTGACTTTTCATCATCAAATTTTAGTTCAGTGTCATTTGAAGTATTTTCGATATTAGTTTCTTTTAAAGATTTATTCAAATCCATATTTTGGTTATTTATTGAAAGTTCTTGAGTGTACAATGTTTCATCAAATATTTTATTAACTACACTGGTATCAATTGATTTAATATCAACTTCTGTAACAATTGAGTATTCTTCTTCATTGTTATGTCCTTTGACATCAGTTGTTGGTATAGACATGTTGAATACGACATTCATTGACTTTTCATCATCAAATTTTAGTTCAGTGTCATTTGAAGTATTTTCAATATTAGTTTCTTTTAAAGATTTATTCAAATCCATATTTTGCTTATTTATTGAAAGTTCATGAGTGTACAATGCTTCATTAGATATTTTATTAACTACACTGGTATCAAATGATTTAATATCGACTTCTGTAACAATTGAGTTTTCTTCTTCATTGTTATGTCCTTTGACATCAGTTGTTGGTATAGACATGTTGGACACGACATTTATCGTCTTTTCATCATCAACTTTGTGTTTGGTGTCATTTAAAGTATTTTCAATATTAGTTTCATTCAAATTCATATTTTGGTTATTTATTGAAGGTTCTTGAGTGTATAATGTTTCATCTAATATTTTATTAACTACACTGGTATCAATTGATTTAATATCAACTTCTGTAACAATTGAGTTTTCTTCTTTATCATTAAGATCAATTAAGCCGAATGTTGGAATAGCTATATTTGACGTAATAGACGTTGACCTTTTGTCATCATTTTGCTCAGTATTTTGATTGTTAAATGAAAGTTTATGAGTACACACAGTTTCATTTATTTCTTTAACCACACAGCTAGAGCTAGTTGATTTAATGTCAACTTCCATGGCAACTGAGAATTCTTCATTGTTATAATGATTTATGACTGATGTTGGAATAGTTATATTTGACTTTTCACCATCAAATGTTTGCTTAGTGTCATTTGAAGTATATTCAACAGTCGTTTCATTTAAAGATTGATTCAAATCCATGCTTCTGTTATCTGTTGAAAGTTTATTAGTGTACATTGTATCATCAAATTCTTTATCCACATAACTAGTGTTGGTTGATTTAATGTCAACTTCCATGGCAACTGAGAATTCTTCATCGTTATAATGATTTACGTCTGAGGTTGGAATAGTTATATTTGACTTTTCACCATCAAATGTTTGCTTAGTGTCATTTAAAGTATATTCAACATTCGTTTCATTTAAAGATTGATTCAAATCCATGCTTCTGTTATCTGTTGAAAGTTTATTAGTGTATGTCGTATCATCAAATTCTTTATCCACATAACTAGTGTTAGTTGATTTAATGTCAACTTCCATGGCAACTGAGAATTCTTCATTATTATAATAACTTAAGTCTGAAGTTGGAATAGCTTTGTTGGAAATGATACACATTGACTTTTCATCATCAAAATTGTGCTCAGTTTCATTTAAAGATTGATTCAAACCCATAATTCTGTTGTCTGTAGAAGGTTTATTAGTATACATTGTTTCATCATCAAAGTTTTGCTCGGTGTCTTTTATAGCAGTTTGGATATGATCAGTTTCATTTAAGGACTGATTCAAATCCATACTTCTGTTGTTTGGAAGTTCATTAGTGTACAAAGTTTCATCAAATATTTTATCTTCCACACCGGTATTTGATGATTTAGTATCGATTTGTGCACCATGTAAGTATTCTTTACCATAATGATAATTTACGTCAGTTGGAATACTAATGTTGGTCTTGATATTCATTGACTGCTCATTATCAAATTTGGGCACTGTATCATTTAAAGTATTTTCGACTTGATCAGTTTTAATTAATGATTTGTTAATATTCATACCCCTGCTGTCTGTTGAAAGTTGATTCGTGTTTATTGTTTCATCAAACATACTATCCACACTTTTATTCACAGAGACCATGTTTTTTAAATTGCTTGATACTAATGATTCTCCCACAGTTTCATCAACAAACTTTGAAGTTTCAAACAAATGTTCATTAGAAGTTTGATTTAAATGCTCAGTAGATTTATCATGACATATTTCATTAACTGTTGAAACATTTAACCTCTCCTTGATTTCTGATTGTTCATCACTGATTTTATTTAAAATTATAGTAGAATTAAGAACTGTAGGCATGATAGGAGTTGTAGTTTCCTCAATTCTATCCATAAATGGAGCAGATGCTACAAGAGCCTTAGCACGAAGCGATTGTTTAGTGACTCGCAAATCAAACAATCTCTGTTTTCCAGGTGTAACACTATATTCATCAGCAACAATTGAATCCTCAGTAACATCTCCAAGTTCTGAGTCACTACAAATACTTAAATCTGCGTCGTCTTTTTGACTACAGTGTATTAAAGTGCATACATTAATAGAATCATTTATTACATTTTGTTGGCTGCTACTAGTGCCTTGCTCAATCACACTTGAAATAGATAAATGTTCACAGGTACTAGTTTTATCAACTAAAAACACAAATCAAAATGATCAAGAGAAAAATAAAATATACATTTATAAATTATTTTAAATACGTACAGACATCATTGTCTTGAATTGACTCTATTTCTTGTGCATCTGTAAAGCTAATGGTTTCATCTAAAAAATTAAATTACAATACTTTGTTTAAAATGTTTTGTAACCACTTTTATATTTACCATACAATCTAATTGAATTGACTACTAAAGAAATTATATACAATTATTGATACATACCTTCAAATGTAGACTTATTTTGGTCTTCTGATAAAGAAGAATCACCTAAAATCAATATTAAAACATATATCAAAATTATTTTAAGTTTTAAAAATTAGTAACTTGTTGAATAAATAAGTGTAATATGTTAAGTGTTGATAAATACAGAATTGAATATATTAATCAACCATAGAAGAAAAATAAAAATTGATTAGGATACTTGGTTGTCTAATGTAATGAATGGTAGTTCTATTTCATTGCTGAGTTTTATGATTTCATCATATCATGAGTTATAATTCATAGAAAACTACTGAAAAAAATCTAATTTTGGAAATGTATATAAAACGAGTATTTAAAAAAAAAAAAAAAACCATAACTACATAAGCAACATACAAAACAGGGGCGAAGCGTACATGTAAGCATTACTTACCCTTGAAAAAAGAGAAAGTTTTTTGATTAAAATCACCCCAAATAATTAATTTAATAAAAGTTACCAGTTATTTTTACACAATGGTATGGTAAGGCACACAGGCCACCACACCCTACCTAACCTCGTCGCACATTGTTATACTTTGTCTTGTAATACAAATGAAAACTGCTTATGAGAGCCTACTAATATGAAAAAGAGCAATAAGAGGGGGGATAATAAAGTTTGTAAGCAATGTTCACAAGACACTGTTTGTAGTTTATTTTGCTATACAGTTAGACCATTAAATGCAAGTGTAGCACAGTCTGTATAACTCTATGCTTATAAAATTCTATTATAAAAACCATTTGGATATATGGATATACACTAATTGGATTACATACAGAAATAAAGAAAAAATACCTTCTTTTTTGTTTCCCCTACACAAGACATATACAATTTATCACCCGGTTTCCTTACACCAATATTTTATATCTAATCTAAAATTTAAAATTACAATATTTCTGTGAACTACTTTGATATTTTAATGAGACGTTACTACATCAGCATGTGTTGTCTCCGTCCACAAATGTAAAAGATAACAAAAACTATTTTACGCCGGAAAGAACCAAGGCTACAGTTATAACTGAAAACCAAATGCTCACCATGAAAAGAACAGTTTTAAGTCACTTATAACTGTGTCATTGTTTTTATTTTTTTGATAAGACCAACATATCAAAAGTTATTTAAGTTTGTCAAATGTATAAGTATCAGATTTTTAAAAGTATTATAACTTTTTTCATTAATGATATCAAACAAATAAAAATGCTACGACACAGAAAATATTATAGTTTATATTGGGTAAGCTTTCGTTGTCTCTACTAGGACTATAGACTGAATGAGGCTCCGTCCAAAGCAAAGCAGTTTTTGCTATGTTGTACATTTGTAAGATAAAGGCAACACATAAGGGTGTAGAGTACTCTCAAGTTCAGGTTAGTCTAGTATATGATCTATTTATAAAAAAAAAGTAATTACTACCAATAATATTTGAAATTATATTTTAACCATGTTAGTATCTTGTTAATTTATCATGCAGCAATTTTATATGGAGCAGTGGTTGGGCGATAATAAAAAAACTTCAAAATATGTATTTATATATATCTTACTTGACGATGTTGATCTCATTCTGATGTATCTATTAATAACTTCTGTATCCATCAACTTTGCATTTGGCATACATTTTGAGAAACACGGAGAAGAAAATTTGGCTGTAAAAGTAATTTTGAGGTAAGTAAATTATGATTATAATAAATTTATAAGATACAAAAATTTATAACAAATTTAAAAATTTTAATTCTTACAATTAGAATCTTCAGGAAAGCTTTGTTTTAATTTCATAGTTCCGATTTCTTTTTCTTCATCAAAATTATTTGCTGAAATAGTTATATTAACTAAAAGTAAAAGTAAACGTAATTATTTGATAATTCTAGAACAAAATTATAATTTTAATTAAATGTATTTACTTGAATTATCAACACTTGTTGTTGTGTTTTCATTAGACTCATCCAAGACAGTAGACTGATCTAAGAAACATAAAGTTAATAAAAAATTAATTTTCTACAAAATATATGTATGCATATTTTAGGTTTTGAACAAAGCAACTCATAAAAAATAATTAAATAAACTACACAATGACTCAAAACAATAATAATTTTACCCAATTACATATTAAAGTAGGTACAAGCGACTAGAGATACATAAAATTAGTAAAATAACTAAGAAATATGAAAAATATATAATATAATAACTCTAATTTCATATTAATGTGTACAACTATTAGGCACTAACTATCAGGCAGTTTACCTGAATGATGAATCAACATTTATTTTGAAATCATTTAAAACTAAACAATGGAAAATATTTAAAACATTACATATTATTGTTAGAAATTGTTATATTCTATATACAGTGAGTTGAGTTCCGCTTAATGTGATCAGTGGTTTATAGAATCAACCGTTTATTAGAATCAAAAATGAAAATCTCAAACCAAATTGTATGTTACTTATGTTAAATTGACCTTTTATTAGAATCACTAAGTACCGGATAATTGAATCATTTTAATGAACAATCTTAAAGTTTGTATGGTGTTTCAAACTGATTAAATTATAAAACCCATTTTATTATTTGAACTTATTAGTATGACAGTATATTGTTGTACGTTATTATGCTATTCAATTATCTTTGTGCGTCTTGAACTTGTGTCATTTATTATGTATGTTACATTAAATATGTCATTGTAAATAAATATGTAATTGTACAAAAAGATTGAATCATGAAAAAAAGTTGTAAATGTTTTATAGGATCAACCGGTTAATAGAATCAAAGTGATCACATTAAGCGAAACCCACTGTATTTTAAAAAGATAAATTGTGAACTTTAAATGTTAATAAAATTACCTAATACACTCGCTAATACAGCATTAATAAATGGAAATCGTGTAAAAATTAACTATTTATAAATTGTTAAAAACAAAATTTTACTCTATTTTTCAAAATGTATTATGTTACAATCACAAATGTTTAATAATAATATAACGCCCTACTGTTTCTTGAATCTAAATGGAATGATAACTCTCAGAAGCATACCCATATATTATTATTTTTTATTAATTTAAAAATGCTCCATGGTCCTTATTATTAATATTAATATATGATAGAAAAATTACATAAAACTAGTCTTAAGAATACTATTGAATATTGATACATGGGAAAATGTTCAATAACATAATAAATTTATACTTGCCATTTTTCTTATCTTCATCTTGCTCAAAAAAGGATTGGCTGAAAGTAAGATATAAAATACAATAATTAATGATTTATTTATGAAGTTAGTACATAGTTCAATTTAAAAATTAGTTTGTATACATATAAACATGTCTAAGTTGTTACTTGATGATATTTTATAAGAAGACTAAAAAAATATTTAAAATGTTTACAGCTATATTATGTATGTGCGAATGAAATGTAAAAATTTATAAATAAATAATATAGGCAGGTAGGTACTTAAAAAATATATACTAAAATAAAAATAGAAGGTTTTTTTTAAATCTGTTTAAAAATCTATAAAAAAATAATCTAATTTGTTTTAATAAAATATTAATTAACAAGATACAAGAACAATTTAAATTATTTTTCATGTTAAATATATTTTTTTTACCTTAATTCGAAATCTGAAGGTAAGACGGTGCGACGTGGTAATCTATTATATCTATTTAATTGATCTTCAGTTACTGGACCAAAACAAACAACACCATCATCATATTCATTTTCAACTAGAATGGGTTTATTTGTATCCATTCTGAAAGCAATTTACAATTTGATTATTATATGACTGGCTATAGGTACTAGTTATTTACATTATCTCTAGCTATTTATACACCCTATAAAGATATAGTTTATCCTATCTGAAGAGAATATTATCCATCACTACCTACCAATCTGATTGATAATTTAAATATAATTAATTACAGATTGATTTATTTCCTAGGCATTTAGAAAGGACCAACAATAATTAACAATTATAAGTAAACATTGATTTAGTTTTATTATAAATGTCCAATATTTTACTTTGGATGTTTGTGTTTACCAGTGTCTTTTAACAGAGCATAAATGTAAAGACGCCAAGAGTCCTTATTTAAGTATTACAATACTATGAGCGTTAAGCTCTGATTATAAATAATATAATTTTGGGAGTATGTATCTAATGTGGTGTGATTATTAATAGGTAATGAATGATTAAACAACAAATTCCAAAACTCCTAAAAACAATTTGGCAGCAAGATATATTTTTAATACATTCTACATTCAAACCTAGTCAGGTTAAATTATCAACTATTACCTGGTATAGAGGGGAAAAGGCACAGAGAAAAAAAATATGCAGACAAAAATAAATATGTCCAGATATTTAATAACTTAATAATAATTCATCTTAAATACTTAATAATATTATTTAAGTTATTGTAGGCACCTATATATTAGATTTCTTTTGACCAAATTTACCATTACTTTTACAAGAGTTAATAATTTCTAATAAAACTCCAAAATATAAAAACCTGGTATAAATGTGAGACTAAAATCATTAATAAATCAGTTGATACCATAACCTTAAGAAGGTTCTAAGGAAATAATCTCCGAATAAATATAAAAAACATTATATTTTGTTTACAATGTAGTATCTTGAAATTGATTGAATATGTATAATACTTTGATTGGAATATGGTATGTACATATATACCTATTGATTTGTCTTCAATGAAGAATAGTTAACTAAGTACTTATTGTTACAAAAACTATCAAACCTTTTTTTAAAATAAAAAACAAAAAGTTCAAAAGTCAAAAACTAATGTTTTTAGCATCATTGATATATACAGATAAAATGCACACCTTAAGAGGACGTTGTACCCACATGTGTCGCTTCCGTTGTATAAAAGTATGATAAACCAAATTTTAAATCACCAGATTCAATAATGTGCTGTTAGTTTTGATATTGGAGAGAGTTGATCTATTATAAAAATTAAAGTTAAAATTATTATCTAAAGCCCCAATTAGCCTTTTATTGATATTATTATCTTTAAGTTAGTTATGATCATTTTAAAATGTATAGTTTCAAAAATGTCAAAAATTACTTAAAAATAAAAATATCAATACCAGTCTAGTGAGGCCCTAGATAGTAATTTTAATTATAAATTTTATAATAAGTTAAATCACTCTAAAATCAAAACTAACAGCACACTATTGAATTTTGTTGAACAAAAATTTGTTATGTTGTACGTGGGTACGACGTCTTCCTAAGTAATAATCCATGTGTCTACCGTTATTATACCATAATGTAGATAACACTTTTGTTTAGTTATCAAAACTTTGCTTACAACTCAACAAATCATTTTTATTCGTAACCTGTTAAGATATTTACGATTTTCGTATTATTTTAAATATTATATTTGTAGACTTATTGTAAGTGTTCAAATGTGCCCCGTGTTCAAATGTTCCCCAGTCTCCCTTACCTACATTTTTGATTGATTTATATATGGTGTGTTCAAGCTAAGAGGTACCACTAAATATTTTAGTTTAATGACTTTGTAATGAAATGGGGTTTTCGCTGAACAATAAATGGTACTTAATTACACATTTTCAAATAAATTTCAAATTTTTAACACTTTTGATAGGCGATACAATTTACTTTCTTTTAAATGGTAACACCAATTTTTTTTCCATATTCGGACAAAATATTTTTTTTCTAAACAATTTATGTACAAACAATTTTTTTTCTCATTAAAAAATTAGCATATGAAATTTAATGATGAAATTTAATATTTACGAGTAATTTGTTTTTGACGAAATTTAAAGTAAATTCAACTTATTGTCACTTATGAATATATTGAAATTTCTAATTTCATTGTTAAATTTCATATGCTAATTTTGTAATTAAAAAAAAAATTGTTTTCATAAATTGTTTAGAAAAAAATACTCTATCCCAATTTGTAAAAAAATTGGTGTTACCATTTGAAAGAAAGTAAATTGTATCACGCATGTGGGTATCAAAAGTGTTAAAAATTTGAAATTGATTCGACAATGTGTAGTTAAGTACCATCTATCATTCAGCGAAAACCCCATTTCAATACAGTCATCGAACTAAAATATTTTGTGGTACCTCTTAGCGCTAACACACTATATATCAACAATACTAAAAATAACAAAAATGAAATTCAAAACTACATCATAATATTACTTCATATATTTTTCTATACTGGCCAGCACGAACCTGAATATAATTTTCAACAGCAGTAGACACGACAATAACATATACTTACGTTGTGGACGTAGTGCTCGAGCGGAACAACTTGTACGGGAAGTTTAATGTAAAAGTGTTAAAACGGAAAACCCAAACGTTTGGGAGATTATATTCTAAGTATAGTTACGACAAACGAGTCTGAACTTTTTCGACACCGACCGACCTATACCTAACACAGAACATTAAGATTAAAAGTTATTGGACATTGGACAGCAACGCGCACGATAACCCGAAACGGACATAACACACAAAACGTCGACAACTCAACACGACAAACTACAAAGCGTCTTCCAGTAAACGATTGAATATTTTCCGTTAAAAAATAGAATCAGTATGGCGGTTGTTGTTGTTCAAAAATATTCTATACGCATGCGCCATTACAAACCAAATCGACGGTCGCGCACTCGTGCGGTCGTGGACGAATTACGGGTATGAAGTAAGTGACGCGACCGGCGACACATTCGCCACTCTTTCGAGACTAAGTTCATCTACTTCACCAGATTCACATGTCTACAATTTACTCTTCACGTCCCCGGATTCCCTTTCGCTTTTTACCGCTCTACATATGTTGTCCACGTTGCCTGGACGTCCGACGTAGCGAATTTGCGAATTGCGGTCGAAGAGATCACTGATCGATATTCAATTGCCCGGGTCGCTGTACATTCATCCTAGACTGTATGTGCTCGTTATAACAAGTCAATGAAAAGAGCTGCTTGTTTTTTTTTTTTCAAGTCGGAATTTGTGTGTGATGGACGACGAAATAATAGACGTGATCACCGAATGTAGTTTCAATTATTTGGAATCCCTGTACGAACCGTGGAACAATTCGACGTAAGCAATAATTTCGATAGCGTGGTCGTTAAAAAAGTCTGAATAGGTTATTAATTTTACTAATGAGATCATTTAATGGTTTGTCCCTAGATCATATAACCCAATTAGTCCTCAATGGTTGATTCAACTGGCAGACGATTGGAACTCAGAACATGTAAGTGTTCGCGTGTGGGTGTAATATTTTTTAGGCCAAACATGGTGGTCTACATTGTCTATAATTCTGTGTTGTAGAGTGTTCGCAAGGATGATTCAAGGAAATTGAAAAAACGTCTATCAGAAGACGTTTGTGATGAGTCTAAATATCGGGAGATCCTCAATAAATATAAAGAGAATGATGTATTTGTACTACCGAACGGTGAAGAAATAGTTAGGGTTCGTAATGATTCAAGTTCTGATTCAGAAATCGATATTATGGATGGAGAGGCCAATAATAATAATGTTGAAGATTGGCAGTCAGTTATATCACATGGTTTCACGAGAGATATTGAACACATACCAGCACCCACCCAAGAAAGATTTCTAGAAAGTAATATTATAACTGCAGATGAAAGATATTATCATCCAAACTTATTTGGGAAAAAAGATGATAAAAAATATTTAAAAGTAATTTGATAATTTAATAATTCATCTTTCATGTAAAATTATTATATTTCCTTTTAAAATGTATGTGTATTATTTATATATATAGGTAAGAAATACTTTATTAGATTTATGGAAAGCAAATAAGCCATGTTATGTATCAAAAACATTTGCTAAACAAAAAATGAAAAAGTGTGGTACGGCAAAAGAAATTGGACAGGTACATTCATATCTTGAACATAGAGGGTACATTAATTTTGGATGTGGTAAGTTAGTTAATAGTAGTATACAACAATTTTAACTATAAAATATATTTCCTTTTAGATGAATGTAAATATCATAAAAATATTAAAAAAGAATTAGCTAAAGCAAGAATATTGAAAACTCAGTATAATTTAAAACCACCTCTTCTTCATGGAAAAAATAAATCTTTTAAAAAAGTAAGCATCTTAATATTTTGAAAAATAGATAAAAATCTTAGTATGTTTTATAGTATTTGCCTTAATTTAAAATAACCCAAACATACAAATTAATTATTTGTAAATTGTAATTTTGTTTTATGAAATAAAATATTGTTTTTATGAATAATTTATTATACATTATGTTTCAGATAAAAGCAATGGGTGGTTACACAATATGCCACGATAAAACTTCATCTCCATGGGAGCATAATTATTCAGTTCCCAAAAAAAATAAACGTTAACTAAAATATTTGTTGTATAAAAAGCACTTTGGCTGTGAATGGGTTACATTTTGGTAATTATTCAAATATTAAATATGTATTGGTTTTTCTTTTTATTTGTAAAAACTGTCTTATTTTTTTAAAAAAATGACTGAAGCAAATAAATGCAATTATAATTTTCATTATTTATTAAATACATAAAATATATGAATGTAAACAAAATAAATATCAAAAATAGTGACCCATGTTCTAAACTTACTTGTAAATAGCTTATATTTTGACTTTTGTAATCCGTTTGCTATAATCGTTGACTATTATTTTTATTGTTACACCATTTACTAAATTTTTAGAAACCTGTATCATATGAAATAACTTGTATTAATTGTGTAATAATTATTATTGTAAAAATGCCTATTGATTAATGAGTATGAACTTAGGATTATTATGTTAAAAAACAACTATTTTTATTTAATACAGTTAGTTTTAACTTATGCATAATAATGTAACAATAAACAACTGATTATTTTTAAATAATTCATTATGTATTTAATTTAATATGAATGCATTTCTATAGTTAACATTTTTTTATCTTGTGTACTATGTGTCATATGAAAACCACTTGCCAGCCACTAAGAAAATTAAAAAAATAATTTTGTATCTAGCCCTTTGTTTTTTATATTTAAATTTGTTGAAATGTATGAACTCTATTGCCTGGTGCTGCTCGGATATGCGGTCTACCTACATTTTTCTGCTCAGATATGCAGTTTACATATTATATAGACCGCACACCTTTAATATGCCGTAAATAGTAATAGTAGTATGTAAATAAATAACCAAATTAAAATAATAATCAAATATTTTAATCATTAGTATATTAGTAAAAATCATTAAAAATAATGGTATGTAAATGAATAATACAATACGCAATATCATAAGTCAAAAATATTTTTAAAAAAAGCAAAAAAATCTAACTAAGAAAATTAAAAATTATGTAAAAAATATTAAAAATAATTTTATGTATAAAAACCTTAATTCTTTTAATTGCATGATGATATGCACTAATACACGGTTAGGTTACTGATCGACGACTGTTCAGTTACTAACAAACTTAGTAAATACACTACCACACTGTGGTATATCAGTGATTTTGTCTTTTAGTATAAATATAAGTGGAAAATACAAAACTATATCCTAGGTAATACCTAGGTATACAATATATGTATTACAGCAAATTATATTTGCGTCAATTTTATCTTTAAATGTTTTTTTATCGCCGCTCAGATATGCGGTCGACATACATGTTTGTATATCGCGTCCCGTCGGTAGACCGCATATCCGAGCAACACCTATTGCTTTAGTAAAGATTCAGTCATAGTCATGCATTTTTAAGTAAATGCAATACCGTTAATTGCATGTGGCTGTATTCCATAGCGAAATTGATTTTAAAACAATAAGACAGCCATATATTAAAATATGACAGTATTGAATTTCATATTGTGGCTGCAATATCTCAAATTATAAAACGAAACACCAAAACTCTAAATAATGGCTGTTTTGCACTCAACATATCACACAATAATTACTTTTTATTTAGGGCAAGAATGCAACAAATCGAAATATGACTGTCATGAATTTTGACTTAGGTGATTAATTAGTTAAATTAAAATTAGTATACTCCCACAAAGTAAATATGGCCATAATAGTTCTTTCCAAAATTCAACCTATTGTTAATCCAATCCTTATGGAGGAACCAACATGGTTTCCACCCTCGTCGATTTAATCTATTCTGTGGTTCTACTGTAAGTTGCAACACTATCTTTTGTAACTACGTTTTTGATGCTTTCGCAGCTCATTATCAAGTTGACGTAATTACACATATTTTGATAAAGCGGTGTGTTAATATTAAATAATATACCTATACCTATATGATATTTACTCTCAATTAAAATGAAAACCAATAATTATGTGAAAACTTAGTATATGCATCACAATCTTTACAATAAATAGTGTGTAAGCCCCCTACTGAGCCTATGAATGGGAAAAATACCACGGATTGGGACTTTTTTTGGCCCTACCAAATTTTCAAACGCCACCAATAGGCCTCCCAAGATAAAATTCTTAGCGCCACCACTGTAGATCACTATGCCCTTATTCATGTTTTACTTCAATCCAGGGTTTGGTGAACCTCTACCGTTGTCATTTAGATCGTTTATCCACAATAGGAATCAATGGGTGAAAATAAAAATGAAAATCCATGGAGTCATATCAAATACTTGTACCTTTCCCCACTACTTTTCTCTCTTCGTTTAATCTATTCTGTGGTTAATAGTTCAAACCGTATACTGCAACACACAAATATTTTTGCTTTCGTAGATGATATTAAATTATTTTTCCGTATAAATACATCAAATGATTGCCTTACACTTCAGAGCGATTTAGACTGTCTAATATTATGGGCCCACAAACTTGGCTAATCTTTTAATATTTCAAAATGTCATTCTATGACTTTCACCCATCGTTGAAGCCCTATCAGCTATGGTAACAATATTGATGGAACAATTATCTCACTCCTCAATACATCAGTTACCGATTTGGGTTTTATATTCACTCCAACCATGAATCCACGTTTACACATCGAGACTATCTGTTGTAGAGCTCTCAAGACCCTTGGCTTTATTCAGCGTAGGTACTTCGTCTGAATTTGGATTTACTTCTCCTCTGAGAGTTCTTATTTATTGTGCTTTTATTAGACAAACTCTTGAATACTGTTCTATTGTTTGGGATCCCACAGCCACAACACATTCTTCTTTAATAGATCATGTTCGCTGTTCAGCGTAAATTCGTAAACTTCGTCAGTTACAACCAAAATATTAATTGCCCCCCTCACGATTGTCGATTACACACCCATTTTCAAATCCTTCACTAGCTGTCAGCTGACAGGAGACATCATGTCAATCTAAAATTTTTATCAAAGCTTATATCTGGTGATATTGACTCCCCTACCCATACTTTCATCCATATCATTCAAAGTCCCTCCTCGTAAGGCACCCCAAATATATCCATTTCATATTCCTCCATCATCCACGCGCTCTATGATTCAAATAAACCTCTTATACGCTGTATGTGCCTTGCAAACTCCGACACTTCTTTCTCAATTTTTACATTATGATTATAAATTAGAATATAAAACTTATATTATTATTATTGTTGTTACTTTTATAACTGTATTATTACTAAAAATATGTAGGTAGACAGGTAGTAGGTACACTGAATAAAACATATATATATATATATATACATTATACGTATATTTTTTATTTTACTTCTTTTTATATTACCAAAAAAAGGTTTTTCCGTTATTATGTATGCATATTTTTATTTTATTATTTTTTTTTCTGAATGTTTTATTTTAAAAATACATGCTGTAATTGGGCTAAATGCCGGTAAATAATTTAAATAAATAAATAAAGTAGTATATTTGTTAATTTAATCTTTAATATGACACTCTCGCTTTGGAAATTAGCTTAAAAATTAAATAGTTCAATACTGAATTATTACTGATGCATCTTTTTAGTGACTAAAAGATAAATGATATTGAATGTGATGTTCTTTGCATTTTATAGAGCTATTATTTCGCGATAATAATCATAGCTCAAAATTGATGAATTTTGACTTGTGGTAGACTTGTTCTAGTGATGTGATTATTTTAAATCAAAACTTGAAACGATCAGAAACATTTGTTCTCTTCCTTGATTTTTTACAATAAAAAGGAATTAGTCCAACATGCTTTAAATATGAATTTATTCCTAACTAACACTGCTATACAATCACTCATCACTGAGTCATTAGCATACTATCTGTATAAATAATCCATAAACAAGTAGATTTTTAATAATAACATTAGGTTAATAAATATATAAAAAAAAGTTAAAGGAAACAAAAATGGCATCGACATTCACTGAATTACATACTTAATACATTGTACCTAAATGTATGTATTTGGTTCAGTGAAAAATTCAAAACCTATTCTTAAGGTGGGTTCACGCCGTGGCGTGTAGAGCTTAATGTATTCAACTTGTAGGACGCGTGACCAGCATTTTATTACCTATGTATTAAATATACGGACATATACATGACACAAGTTGTGAATCCACCTTTATTTAGTTATTTGGGATTTTGTACCACAGAATTTGAAACATATTATGTGTTTGTACCACTATACTACTCGATTTAAAAAGGGAAAGTTTTAAAAGGATATATAAATTGGTAACACTTCCAAAATTATCAACGTTGATTTTACTTATCATAATAATGTAATTATTATTTTGTATTATTCATCAAAACTTTCTAAATGTTTTTGTATAAACATTAAACACCACAGATAAAACACCTAAAATCGTAAAAATTCCCAAATTTTTAATATTTTGCAGTGAAATACACATATACCTTTGTATTTTTTTTCTTTTAGCATATTTGGTTAGTTTCTAATTCGATGAGATTGTGCTGTTGAGGTAAGCTAACCAAAGATTGTACTACTTCATAAATTATATATTATCCAATAACTTTTTTTTATTATGTCTTACACTATTGTTTTTTCGGATTTTTTTAAAGATAAATTCGTTTTTTAGAATGGACCAAGAAGACTTCACTGCTGATCTTTGTGCCGAACAGATTGGCAAATTATTTCAATTTCAGGATCTTACTGGTATTGAGAGTTTGCCTACATGTCGAGACGTACTACAGAGACATCATTGGGATATAGAATCCGCAGTTCAGGATCAGTTAAACCTAAGGGAAGGTCGCCCATCTGTATTTGCTGGAACTTCAGAAACATCATCTGCTCCGACAGTTTTAGTTGATCCGACTAGGCAGCAAATTTTCAACCCAGAGGCCTCTGGAACTGGAAATTTTTTATCATTTGTAATAGATTACATACTGAGAACATTTTATAACACATTTGTATCAGTGGTACGATTCACATGGAGCTTAGTCTGGCCTGAACCTCGACCTCCAATTACAGACCCAGTTGCTGATGTTGGGAGATTTATTCAAAACTATGAGTCTACATATGGTAGTGAACATCCAGTTTATTATAGAGGATCATATAGGCAGGCATTAAATGATGCTAAACAAGAATTGAGATTCCTTGTGATTTATTTACACCAAAATGATCAATCCGATTGTTCTAATTTCTGTTCATCTGTGTTGCCAAATAGTAATGTTATTTCTTTCCTAAATGAAAGTAACATATTATTTTGGGCTTGTGAACAAGATTTGAATGAAGGTAATCGAGTAGCCACTGCTCTTCAGGCCAATGTGTACCCTTATGTAGCTGTAGTTGTACTTAGAGAAAGCCGAATGACCCTAGTTGGACGAATGGAAGGACCTGTGTCACCCGAAGAATTTATAAGAAGATTACGGTCAGTGTTTGAAGCTAATGAAGCATATCTCGTAGCTGCTCGAGCTGAAAGAATTGAACGTAGTTTTAATCAATCCTTACGTGAACAGCAGGACCGAGCATATTTAGAATCGCT